TAATGCTCAGCTGTCCAGTGTACTTACAGGTAATGCTGGGTTACAAAATAGGCTACTGGAGATCTAACTCCCTTTGTCACTTCTGCCAAATGAGGTGGCAGTCAGTCTCTGGGCTTCTTAAATGCCATCTGCCCTCCATGGAAAAACAGCTGTCCTAAAGCAGAGCACAACCCTGTGGATGTAACTAAGATCACCTTTCATATTCAGGATAGGGTCTACTGTTAACTCAGACCTCCAAGAGGCAGCTGTCAAACCTTTCTTTTTCCAGTTTCTTGGTGCAAAAGAAGATATACTCACATGAAAAAATTTAGAAATTCAAAATAATTTCAACATCTAGTCAGCCTTGTCCAGAAAGGACCTGTTGAGTTTGTGAGGATCCAGGACAAGGTGAGGGATAAGAATCTGACTCCATGTTCTCAGAGGCTGATTTTTTATTTTATGATATTTTATTAAAGAAGCTATACTAAAGAAAGAGAAGGATACAGACAGAAGGCTTAGCAAGAATGATGATAAATAACCCGTGACTCCTCAGAGTCTGACACAGCTGGCCATGATTGGCCATTAAATTAAAACAATTCTCATGTTTGGATAAACAACCTCCAGACCACATTCCAGAGCAGCAAAACATGGAAAAGCTGAGGCTTCTCAGCTTCCCAGGAGAAAATCCTGAGTAAAGAGGATTTTTCAGAAAATATGACAGTGACAGGACCTGCTGTAGGACATGGGAATACAGAATGTGGGAGAATAACTTTATGGCACTTCAGCATAAACTATTCCACCATTTAATGGCCAGGTAGTGGTTCGACTGGAGGAACTTTCAAGTTTACTCTCTGCCTAGAATCACCTGCCCTGCAGCAAGCATCCATTACAAGTGCTGAGAATATCTTATGCTGTAAAAGATGAAGCACTCTATTCTGCTTGTATTGTGCCTTTTCTTTGCTGCACTATATCTCATTGCAAATTCCCTGAAAATCTATTCCAGTGTGATATTCTCAGGGCCCTTTATGGCACTACAGTGTTAGCTGCAAATGAAGCCATTCTTTTCTTTTCCTCCCCATCCCCAGCCACTTCAGTCCCAGGAGGAAGAGTCTTCACATTTCTTGTCTGGGAGTTTCAACAAAAAATAATTCACTGCATGAATTATAACTCCGTGAAGCTTCGAGTGAATCCTAAGGGCAAAGTCTATCACCAGTAAATGACACATCTGAAAATCTGTCCCAGAAGGATTACAAACTACCCTGTGATTTTAATCACACCTCTGTATAAAAGTTACTTTTTAATTTCCTTTTTCTGCATAACTGATCTTTGCATTTTTATATTCATTGCTAAGGAAGCTTCCAGTGTTTCATTTGCAAAGCTGACAACCCCTGCATGTCAAATTGAGAGCTGGCTGCTTTTTAGAATGCACATGATTATACTTGTATTCCAGGATTTCCTTACTCTTTTATTGGCCCCTCTAATAATATTCTCTCCATACCTGTTCTTGCACTTACCACAGCAGCTTAGCATAGTTCCTGAATTATTGATGAATCCCTTTCCATTATGAACATGCATGAAACATTTTTCTAGAAATTATCAGAATACTACAAATTAGTATTTTATACCAAGTAGGGAAGATGTCTTGAGAGCAAAGTTACTGCATCAGCCAATTAACACTTGTGAGAGAGCTTAACACAAAAATCCACTGTATAAAACCTCCCACAGCAACACCTTTGCAACACACACATTTGTACTTAATCTCCTTAATACTATATCTAGACTTTGTGAAGAAGATTTCTGTTATGTTTACAGGGCAGCTTCAGCATTTCCCCTCTCCTCATCACCAGAAAAATATCTTCCAAGGAAAGGGGTAAGTTTAACATTTCTGTCAAAATAGTGATCATATTCAGTTTCTGCAAAATCTGCCCTCTAATGCACATGTGAGAATGGTGAGAATAAGACACCAGAAGAAGCAATATCATCCACCACCAATGCAGATTAATGTTTTTTCTTACACTTCTTTGCTCTTCTGGGCATTGAGAAAAATTTGCTTTTTTCTCTGCTCCATAAAATTGCTAAGAGAGACTAATTGAGCAAGCTTTCCTAAAAACAAAATGCCACCTATGATAAATTTGAAAGTAACAGCCCACTCCTAGAGTATCTATTTTTACTTCAGTGTAAAAATACACAGTAATAATGGATCACTGACAAGCAAAAATTTCCTTAACATTAATGAGACATTGGACAACTTAAAAAAATAAATGTAGCCTAAATGGTTCTATACATGGAGTTTCTTTTCCAAATTATTTCACAGATGAAACCCAGTTAGCCAAATACCCTGGAATGAAATTCAAAAACCCAGAGAAACAGAACATGATCACTCCATTCTCCCTCCACAAAAACCCCCTCACCTCACAACAATTAAACAAATAGCTGCCAAAAGCATATACAGGAGGAACAACTGAGTATGAAGCTAAAAGATGACAGAAACAGGTAAATGGAAATAGTTTTGGGAAAGTATTGCCTCTCCAAAGGGTATCTTCACACATCTGCCTAACTTCCACAGAGCATAGGCTAAGAATAGCAGCTAAGCACAAGCTATTGGTACAGATATTTTGTTCACAAGAGCTTCCTTTAAATAAAATCCTCCCTTTTCAATGAAATGAGCAACAATAGCACAACAGTCAGAAGTATTCTAACAGAAGAATGAACCAGCATTGGAACCTTAGGATGAATTTTTCATAAGCAGACCCAGATCCAGTTTTGACTATGCAGCTCTCAGGACTGAGCTGTGAATACGATGGGATAAAAATAAAACCCTTTTCAGCCATCAAACTATCTTGACCAATTTGTTTCTGTAGACAGGACAGAAGGAACATTCTAAAGAGTTCCTCTGCAAACCACTGGTGGGGTTTTGCATGTCTATTAAACTTAAAAAAAAAAGTCAAGAAATGTAACACAAAGAGAAAGAGCTGGTAAATCTGAAGGGAATCCAGTTTGAAGAAAGGGTGAGTGTCACTGTCGTATTTTCTTAAAAATCCCTTTGCCCAGGATTTCTTCTCCTGGGAAGTTGAGAAGCCTCAGAGAAAAATGAAAACAATATTATTTCATTTGCTTCTCCTGTGTTTTGCTGCTTTAGAATGTGGTTTGGAGACTGTTTATCCAACAGGTGGTTGTTTGATTGGTTTCTTGTGAATTGTTTTAACTTAATGACCAATCACAATCAGACTGTGTCGGGACTCTGGAGAGTCATGAGTTTTCATTATTATCTTGTTAAACCTTCTGTAAGTATCCTTTCTCTATTCTTTAGTATAGTTCAGTATAGTATTCTATGATATAATATTATACCATAAGATAATAAATTAGCCTTCTAAGAACATGGAGTCAGATTCATTGCTTCCTCCTCCAACGGGGGACCGCGAAAATACCAGTGGTGAGTAGTGCTATAAGGAAAGCTCTGCAGTCTGACTGGAAACACACTCATGTTGGCATGGAATTTCACAGAATTCACAGAATGACCAGGTTGGGAGATACCTTCAAGACCATCAAGTCCAACCCAGCCCCAACAGCTCAACTCACCCCTG